GCTGTTAGCTGAACTCCAGGCTGGCGAGGCTGTGGTACCGGAGAAGGCGGAAACGTCGTCTCTAACAATCGATGTTGAAGGAAAACCTGAAGTGCAGCTGGGTGTTTCGGTGCAAGAGCGCGTGCGCAGTTCAAGTCGGGTTGTCACATCTGGTCATGGCCGGAAAGTCTCTGAGATAGAGGTTCCTATCAGTCAATTGCCAGGAACTGTCGTCATTGGGGAACCTGTGTCGGTGGTTGTAGACTACAACACGGATGGGAAACCTGCGGTGAGTCATTCGGCCGAGATAACTGCGAGTGAGCCAGAGGATAACGACGAGGCAAGTTTGTCTCCAGAAAGTGAAGAGGAAGACGTTCCACCGGTTTTCTCAGCGCCTGAGGTGCAAAGCGCTCCTCCACCACCACCACCTCATTCACCTCCTCTGGTCAGTCCGGAAAGGATCCGTATCAGCGCGCAAGCTTTGCCCGGGCCTCAGGTTCCACAAAGTATCGACGCGGAACGATTCCCATTCCTCAAAGGCTCGAATGTGAAGCTCAAAGCAGGCGCCTTCCAACCAGTTCCGAGTCGCGAGCCCAACCAACCTGGGAATTATCAGGATGAAGTGGAAGAGACGCCGCTTCCTCGACGATTTAGAGCGACTAGTCGTGAGGAGCTGTTTAAACTGGATGGACTGTTACATGCGCACGCACATCACCATGACCCACCCGAGAACGGGATTACTAACGGGGAAAATGATTACCCCATTGACGCAGATTACTCAAGGGACGAGTATTACAGAGACGAGGATTACTCAAACCAGCCCAACGGCCAAGATGTCGATGAATGGCCCGAGGCACCAGCACAACTCCCTCAAGAGGAATATCCCTACGAGAGCGCCCCTAGTGGTGATTTCCCTGGCGACTACGAGGGATACTCGGATCCTTACAAGATGCCCCCACGGAAACCCGAAAGTGCATACACAAGGAGAATAATCGGAGTTTACGACAATGGCGGAAACCTGATCGGTTATCAAGAAGTTTACGAAGAGAAAACCGACGAGTTTCCAGAGGAAATAAACGGTGGAGTAGTTCCGTATCCCGACCCATATGAATATAGCGGAATGCAGGAACCGTATGAGAGTGAACAATTCCCCTCGGAAGGTGCTCCATATTCTCACGAGAATAGGGAACGGATAGAAGATGGCTCCCGTTATCCGTACGACAGAAATAGCAATGTGACAAAACACCCTTGGTATGACGAGCCTGAGGAGAGAGGCTTTGTTAAAAGTAAATACAATAGACAGACTGTTACCGATGACCCGTACGGCTTCCTAAACGGGGACAACAACCAGCGCGTGCGACCATCTAACATTGCCAGGAATTATGCCAGTGGAACATACCTTTAGGTAAACTTAATAGGACTTTAAACAACTAAGTTATGTGTCGTCCTCATGGCAGATTTTATGGATTTTAGGGGTGAGATAAGTTAACGCAGTCGCTTGACAGAACCAGGAGCACATCACCAAGTTAGGCTAATGTCAAGAAAGTCCTGAAGACTTTTCGGGTCCGGAAAGCTGTAGCCTGGGACCAGGCTCCGTAGTGTGGGAAAAGGGCGAGCTGAGCGGTAGTCTGGGTCCCTCTCTCGGCTCGCTTGCCTTTTTCCCCCTCTGTGGAGCCTAGTCCCAAGCTAGGAAAGCTGTTTTAGGTTTGCTGCGTTTTAAATACCCAACGTCGATATTTCAGTACTATTGCAAGTGATCTATAAAAACTATCGGCTAACAAAACATAACGGACTAGTTTGTTAGCTAGAACTGGCGCTTGTACTCTTTAGATTTTAACTTAAATATAAGGTTTCGGACCCGAAAAAGTTTCCGGGACTTTCGAGAAACGGGCTCCTGATCTCGCTCCAAATGTCAGGAAGAAGAAAGACCCCGAGAGCAAGGCTGACTATTAGCCATTTGGGGGGCTGCACGAGCGACGGGGTCGCTACTGTGCCGAATGACCCCATGGGACTGGTTTGGGGACGCTATGGCTTTTATTGTCAATCACAAGGTTGCTTAGGAAACTGGGTTAAAATACGTCGCCCCAAACAGTCCCATGGTGCATTTCGGCACAACACCGCCCCAGTCTCCCGCTCAACCTACAAATGGCCGGTCATGCTGAATCGTTTTAACAAATTGAAAGGGTAAACAAACGTAAAGGTTGACAGTCCCTATGTCGCAACTGAAAGTTGGGTGTCTTGAAGAACAGGAACTAATTTCCGTGGTGAAGTGACCAGTTGCTATAAGTTTGTGTAAGGGAAGTAGTATAAGCTTTTTAACCAAAATCGTATTAACCCAGTGTATTTTACATATACCAGAACTTATTTTTTCCGTTGGAAGTTAGTCTCTGGAAACTAGTTGGGAGTCTGTAGGATGAACAGCACTACTGAGTTACATCAGGAGCGTTAGACCGACATACTATCCTCACAATTCCCTACAGACAAAGGCTTGAGTCAAGAAAGTCAAAATTTTTAGAAAAACGTATAGCAGAAGAGCCCGTCCTGGGACAATTTACGTAATACATAACGCGAGGGCGTAACCGCTAAGGTCCTGTGTTAAGCTCAGATAAAATAACTTACTAAGGCCTGACGTTTTTTTTGTTGTTGTTGTTATGTTTGTTGCTCGTCGTTGGTTCCTGTGCGCTTATGCAACAGATAATATACCGTATTTCCTCGAATAATAGCCAGGTGCGATTATTTCTTTTGTCTCATCAAAAGGTGGCGACTATTTCAAACATTGCTCACTGGAAGTCGCGCCCTAAATATTTTGTTTTATTGTCTCATTAAAGAAAAAACTTATCACATCAAATAAAACTAACCATGAGCTTTTTAAGTGTTTAACTTTGGTTCCTTGATTAATTTTCAGAGCTTGAATTGTCATTGATCAGTTTTGCCGGATCAGATTCCACTTCAACTTAACAGGGAGGGGATAAAAGGGAGAAAAGATGGCGAGAGGGGGGGGGGGGCGATTATTCGAGGGAGGCGATTATTTTAAATATTTCCAGCAAAGAGGGGTGATTATTCGAGGGAGGCGATCAATCGAGGGACGGCTATTATGCGAGGAAATACGATACACGCATCAAGTTTTCAATGAGAAATTTGCTTGTAACAGTTTCTTTTGCTTACGTAAAGTTAACCTTTTCACATTCCTATATTTTTTCACGTGTCACTTTGGAGAATGACCACCGAAGAGTAGTAATTTCCGAGGGTAGTGGAAGGGACCCCCACCTCCGTCTTACCACTTTCTAATCCCGCCCCTACGGAAAATTTGTACTGTTCTCCAGTTTTACTCTTCTCACTTAAGGTAGCGGCTTCTTTAGTGGCGGATCCAGGGTAGGCTGTCCACAGTTCCCCATTTTTCCGTTAGATCGTCGAGATCCAGCGCTTTTCGTTACGGGCGGCCACCTCGGATGCAATGAGTGTTATATCCACTTAGAGGGCGGGGAACGGTCTAGGTATATGTGAAACCAAGATGGTCGAAGCCCTCGAACCTGACGAACTTACGAAAACTCAGGGGACTGTGAACTGTCTAGGTTAAGAAACGGTTATAAAATTTAACGCCCCGGTGCATCACCCCTTGAAGGGTCGCGCATTTACTACTAAATAGCGTGGGACGGCTATAAAGGATGGAAAGATTAGTTGTAAACAGGCTGTAGGTCTTGTACCCCTCCCGTAAAAATTCCTGGATCTTCCTACATCACACGGAAAATAGTGGACTGTGAACAGTGTAACATGGAGTACCTTATGAAAATGCTGCCAAATCATGGCCAAATACTTTTCATTTGATTACCCACACGATACGATTTTGTCGAGGCGCAAAAGTTAAACCCAGGGGTGGACTCCCATAGGAAAGGGGCGGGGAAACTCGTCGCCTCGCTTAGGGGTGTAAATTTCGGATTCTGGTCTCACTTAGGGTGTTCTGGGCAAAACGCCATTATATTTAGCCGTAAAAGTCGCTTTTAGGGTTGCCCCCGAAGAAATATTAAAAAATTATATATTTTCAATTCGCTTTATTTACTCGATTCATTAAATCAAAGTTTAAAATGACCTCTTTTAGGGGTCCAAAAAAGGTTGGTCTCCACGCCCAGATTGGTCTCCTTTAGGGGTTTAATTCAAAATTTCCGTCAAGGATCCCCACCCCTTTCATATGGGAGTCCCCCGGGAGTTAAACCTCCTGACATGGCTTCATCGGAATGACATCTTTAAACATTTACGTTTATGCGTTTACCATGGTCTCGATGGTCTGGTGTGGATATAGCCCTAGAATGATATACTAAAAATATCAGGCATTAATACGTAGAGCAAGCACAGCGGCACAATGTATACACTTTATTATCAGAAAATATTATGAATGGTTAAAATTACTTTTTAAAAAAATATATTTCTTTAGCTTTTTTGTAATAAACGCCTTATAAGGCTACTGCATTACCGATAGACAAGTGTTAAATTACGATTTCTTATTTTGAGAGGAACCCGCGCTTGTGAATCACCAACCTCTTTCCATAAGTTTTTTCGTGCTCGCCCCCATCTCTCGCTCTGTGGACGATCTTTAGAGAATTCGTGGCAACGAGATTGGTGAATCAGCCGAGGAGAAACCTGAGAGGAAAAACTTTTTTAAAAGTAAAAGACTCTATTATATGTGACTATATACTAGCTTTTAGGTCATTCCAGTTTTCCCTAAAGCCTCTGTTTCAAAGCGAGGCTTAGTGCGAAGTCATTTATAAGAAAATGATTTTATCCCCGTGCAAATAAAACTCATTTTCATAGGAAAGGTTTTGCACTTAGCCTCGTTTTGAGAGCGAGATATTTTGGAACTCGGAAATGGCTTATTTCTCACGCAATTTTGTTGCAAAGCGAAGTTTAAGAGCACTCGTTGCCGAAAATCTGTCTTTGCTGAGATCCACGTTCTCTGCATGCATATTCACGATCAGGACAAAATACCACTGTATCAGGACATACTCAGCTCTCAAGTTTCGAAAGGTTTATCCCAGGTCCAACTGATCTTTAATCTTGTTAGGAACAAACATCGGCTTCGCTCCAAGTATGGCGGATTTGGGATCAAGAAGCGAATTTTCTCTGTTTTTCTCTGAACTTTCCCCAGTCACCTTCAATGCAGGCCCCATAGCTGCCAAAGCCGCCTTTAGATCTGGTTTTCCCAAGTCGATGCTGTCGTTCTTCTTTACTTCCGGAAATGTTACTACACCCGATTCGTTCTTGGCACCGGCAGTCAAGTTTCCTGATGTATTAGTGAGTGGTTGAATTCTCTCTCCGGGGGATGTAGACGTTGGAGAAAAAAGTGTTTTCCTAGTTCCTTTTTGCACCTGATTTGAACTTAGCACCTTTTTTCTTTTCCAACCCAAAGTGTATCCCTTTTGGACGCGATACTTAATCAGCCAGTCCTGTAATGGTGCAAAATATTCCAAAATGGCGCCTGCTGTCATTTGTCGCTCACCTGTCATACGGTAAAGGGTCTGGGGCCAAGGACGGCTTCGACCTGCGGCCAACATTTCTCTGTAACGTATAAAATACATAAAAGTTAAGTATCTTGGTTAAGAAATAGGTTTATGATGTAAAAATTAAGAGAGGTGTCTAGATGACATAAGCAGACAAGATAACTTGATCCTTGCGCATTAAAAAGACAGCACTTTTTCGCTTAGATTTCAAATGTTCCTGAAGCTTGGGTGCAGCCCATTTGATCGGCGCAGCCGGCCTCTCGAGTACCGAGCAAAGTTAAAACGCAAGTTTGTAAGCGTTGCTTTAAATGTTCGGAAAAAAATTAAGAGGCACCTGTGTAATACTACTTCCTTTCTTATAGAATGGGAGAAATCTATTCATTCGCCTTGAAAGCACTCTCAGTAAGAAAACCCTTGAATAGTCCGCGTAGGACGCCGTACCAGTTCTTCTCGGTCAATGCATTTCAGAGATGTAACCGCACGGACCACGTGACGCGAAACGAACAAGGCGCGCAGAATATCGAGGCCTAGTGACTAGGCAAAGGAAACCCGACAATGGAGGCTAGTAACAGTAATAAGGGCGTTCGTTCCCCCGGAGTGAGGTTATTCACTTGCACTTTAATTTCATTTTGGCCCATCAAAAGATCTATTGTCGGATAATGCCTTTCACTGAAGAACTCTCTTCTACTCCGGACTCCACTCGCCATTTTTTTCCTTTCTAACTTTCCCCGGCCGATACTCTTCCAGATAGCTTGACAACAGTTCAGTTTAAACCTCAGTATACTTAGCCCTAACCCATTCCGTCCTTACTCCTCAAACTTAATGTACTAAGACGAACGTTATGTGAGAACTTTGGTATTGTGATGAAGCAACCTACCTGAATTTCTTGCCAGCATCTTTTGACTTGTAGATGGAACATTCATGCAAAGGACCTTTGTGCTTTGCTGTTTTACAAAGTGAACGATGAAACTGGAACTGAAGAATAAGAGAGACGAAGTAGCTGCAGACAAAAACAAAAATAAATAAATGAACGGTGATCAATAATTGAATACAGAAGACCAGTCTTCCTCTTGATCTTCGCCAGGCAGGAACCTTCAACTCATTTAAAGCAAAACTACGCTGCTACGATTTCTCTAACTATCTTACGGGCATCCATTTAAAGCAGGGTTTTTATTCATTATTGTAATTAAGAAGTTTTCGTTTAGATTATAGAGCTTAGTATTTATATTTTATAGTATTTATAGTATTTATCAATAATTATTTTAATTAAATAATTAATGTTTTTACGTCGTCCGTTCATATGAAAAATGAAGGTTCTACGTATGATTAAACCCATTAAGTGACAGGGTCCTGTACATGTTTACCCGATGTAAGCAGAGTTGGCGCCCACGTGAAATTTAGCTCCAGGGTCAAAGTCCTTCTCAGTCCGAGGGACTGGAGCCATAACACCTTGGTAGAGCATACGCATTCGCCACCACTCTGAGTTGTAATTTGCCGGTGTAATTCTTCCCGAGAACACCCTCCATCTCCACAGGTCAACGAGTAGTGTCCAGGGAAGCGCGGCTACTCGTTGTAGTGCTCTGTCCATCAAAAAGTTAATATCTGCTTCTGCAAAAATGAAGGGGGACAAGACTCGAATCTTTGCTAATGACTTATTAGTTTAAAGTTATTTCAGTGTAGTAACAGTATCTCACAAGTGTTTTACGTCTGTTGATAGCGGAGCTCTACGCGCTCGCGAAGCGCGCGCGAGCGGAGCCTCATACTAAAGAAAATTTGGTAATCTATCTATCCGAGAAATTTTGGTAATCACGTGACCGTACGTCCGCCCGTCCGTGCGCGCCACAGGGAAACCAATCTGAAATATCAAACTTTCTAGCTGGTGTGGGAGCCCTAAACCTGTGTTTAACTTGATGATAGAAATCAATATTATGGTCAATTGACAGCTGTCAAAACAGGGTGTCCGCTGATCAGAGTCACATGGCGATATGGCGGGCTCAGGTACCAACTCATCGAAGTCTCGTATTTTTTGAAGTTTTCCGCTGACCAGTTATTAGCTTTAAATTGATCGTAGGCTCGAGTTTATGTTTTTCAGTCATATGGTTCTCCCCTAAAGTTAAGTATAGTATGGATTTCTTTGCAATGGTTTAAAGACCATTGCCTAAATTAATTTTAAGATGCATTAACTGGAGCTTCGCTTCTAGCTTTGGCTAAATCTTAATATTAATTTGCGTTTATATGATTTACTGAATTGCAATTGTCTTCCAGCGCTTAGCTTATCAGTTGCGCGTCGTTGCGCGTGCTTTCCGCATTTGCCGCTGGCCCGTTGCAACAACAAACATCTGATACTATGCGCTACAGTAAAAACTAAACAAACTTAACAATGACTCACCAGTGTTGTTTCCAATCGTGTACAGTAGTCCCACGGATTTCAGATGTTTAGGGTTGAGAACAGACAGAGCGATAGTGTCGCCTATAGCCTCATGGAAACCTGGATTGGCACCACTTCTGAAGGCAATCGGTTGATCCTTGTAAGCGAGGTCGTATTCACAATGTCCCATCTCATGATGGATCGTTATCAAGTTTTCTTGGTCGACTCCTGTGCACATCTTGATCCTAAGCGAAAAACAACACTTTTAGACATAGTGAGTTAATTAACAATCATTCCTCGAGCCCGAATGGGCTCTGAATCAATACTGATCCCATGAGGCCGAAGACCGAATGGACCATTGACTCAGAGGCCATATGGGCGAGAGGAATAATTGTTTTATAAATCCAACTAGTTGGTCAAAATATAGAGACAAAACAACTTTAGCTAGCAAAACCCGATTCAGTTGCCATTGTTTTGGTTTTTAAAGCCAGCGGTTTTCGATACTAGTGGGCTATAACATATAACCTGGTAGTAGCTTAACCAATCTGAACGCAGCATTGATAATAGACCACTAGTTGGATTTTACTAAATATAGATATACCATGTTCTTAGGTGACGAAAGTTCTGACCCATAGAAACGTTGAAAGCTTCAGATAAATTTTCGACTAAAAAATACAGACTAAGTCATTTGCCACTTGGAGATCCCTTAACGTTATCTTAACAATCTTCGTTGTGTTAACATTTCTTCATTTTCAACGATGCGATTAGTGCCCGATTTTCCCTGCAAAACTTTATTTTCCGGTGTTGTTCTTATCAGTAAGTGCTTTTTCAGTTTCTGCAGCACTCGAAAGCTATGCACTTCAGTTACTCTCTACCGGTAAGGGGTTTTTGGAACTTGTCAATGGCCTTAGCAGTCTAACTAGTGAAACAATCAATCAATCAGTTCGACATCAATTACCCTCGAAACTGCCAAATTTCTTGCACGACTCAATAGCAAATCGATCACTTAGTTCAATTCATCACCGGTTATACAGTCAACTCAGCCTGTCAGAATTTAACCAACAACTCGTCTGAACCACTTATCAGCCGACTAACCCAACAACAACCAAAAAAATGAGCGATCAAATCAGAACAGCCAATCAATCAATCAGTCAATCAATCCATCAATCAGTCATTCAATCAATTAATCGGTTTTAAAATGCCAAGTCTGACTATTATATTCTGTCAATCGTCGATCATGGATGAATGTGTTTCATAAAGGAAAAAACAGCTAGGGGCGTGGGTAGAAATTTTCCAGAGGTTACAACAAAGTTCCCAAATAAACTCTACTTCGTCTGTCAAGTCGTTTTTATCCGGTTGTCTAAATGAAAATTAAGGGTTTGTGATAAGTATGGTGGTTTGATCATTTCTTCTAGTCTTAAGGATCATATTTTTCCCGCAACCAAGTAAGTAGGGTTTTCGAGTGTTCCAAAATCTAAAGGGGGGGGGGGTTAACATTGTGTTTTGTTTTTGAAAAAAAGAAATTTACTTTCGACAGAGATAAATGGTTTTATGCCTCATGTGACTGTTTAATAATGTATTTCTTCAGCTACCAGGTGGGGGATGGGTGCGTTCCTGCTATTCCGAGACTGTCATTTTCTTGGAAACAAGACGCATGGCTTCTCTGCTCACTGTTACCAATACATGAAAGTCAGCTATCGTCAATAATTGACCTAATATGTATTAAAGGAACATGAAGCATAACTAGAAACACGTGTTTCGCAGAACCTCTTGAAACTCGCATAAATAGGTGAAATAAATTAAAACGGTGTTACACAGGTAATTGCTCAGTTTGTCAGCTATCCCTTATTTACCTGCTGTACCTATGCTTTGCTTTTGTATTTTATTTTTGCTTTTACCTATCTCTGACATTTTCCAAGCAAGTACGTGCCAACTGGCGTTCAGTTAGCCACGCGCTCCTGGGAGAGAGTCATGACGATTATTTCACCCTCACGTACCTAACATCTCCTTTGTTAAAATCCCAGGCAGACGGATGACAGACCATTTTTCTGTCCCTAGGTTTCTCAATGGCTGATTTATTCCAGAATGTTTGAGGCATGGGGTCGAGGCCAATAGAGACAAAAAAGGATTGTGCAAGCTTGAACATCTTTATAGGAGTATACTGTTGCTTACGTAAGTTCGGTGTTACATCAAGAGATGGGACCTTAGGATAGGGCTTTACGAGGTCTTCAATCAAACTCCAGTCCTGAGCCCACATATTCCCTAAAAGATGCGCCTGAATGGTCCCATTTTCGGGCACTTCAGGGTAGTTTTCGCGTAACTTGTACCTAACATATGCATGAAGCTCCTGGTAGAGTGGTTTGACTTCATTCCATAGCTTCATGATTGCTTTTTGAAAATCATTTCCCATCTCGTATTCGCTGCGTTGAAAATTCCCGTAATCACCCCAGTCGTGTGCCCTTGCCCCAGAGTTCAGAAGGTTCACAAGTTTTTCGTACAGCGGCCTCATGGGAGGGCCGACGGCATCTCGCCAACTTTTCCAGCCCCAAAGAAGCTCGTCGTAGTCGCGTGATTTCCCCATCAGCGAGTAGAGGTCTGGGTCTAGTTCTAAGTAGCTTGTTTTATTTGTAGCTTTGTTGAGCTTACAAACCTTTCCACTACTATAAATATTTGTCATATTTGATATAAGATCATCTACGAGCTTTATATCCCTTGGCGATTTAGGAAGATAGTTTCTACGAATAATCCTAATTTGCCTCGCTTGGTCGTTGGAAAGATCCACTTCCTTGATGCGCGAAGCGTTGTCACTAGCTTTCAGATAAAAAGCTTTGGCAAACGTTGAGTTAAATACCGATAGCTCTCGGTTAGTCTCAGTCAGATTGGTTTCGTAATTCCAAGCAGCTTCGCTTTCACCCGATGAAATGCGCGTTGCTTTATCCTCATAGTTTTTGAGGAAGTCCAGCGCTATAGACATGTAGTTCTTGAAGGTGGTTTTTGTGACGTTTTGTAAACTGGTGGCGCTATAGCTTTTCTGGTGCCACGAGAGAAGAAACAATGAATAGCAAAGCCACAAATTCATCGCCGGTCTTCTTAACCATCACATTAGAAAACAAATTTCCTTTCCAAGAGTATCAACATTTTCTCGGCGAGAAGGATACTTGAAACTGATCAGCGCGATAGAGATCCGGTTGTTCACTTGAAAATCTGCCCCAAGCAAATTGGCTTAAATGACGCGATTAGATGCTTGTAATAAATAATTTATCTAATCAAGAGGGTTGAGGGGACAGCGGGTAGAATATTCTTAATTCTTGTCTAAAATCTGGTGGTTAAGTAAATTAACTAAATTGTATCTGTCACAGCCGGGATGGGAGTTGACTTAAGCAATTACTGCAGACTGTTAGTTTAAAAAGATGGATAAATTTTTTTTCATAATAACATGAATTTTTGGGGGTAAAATGTCTTGGTATCCATCTCATTCTCCTGTCCCTCTGGCTAATGACAACATAGGTTTAACTTTGTCTGTGTTCTCTCTTTCTCGTCTCTCTTTTTTTCTCTCCCTCCTTGCTCTGTTGTTCGGATGCTCGTGAGGCGCTCGTGGAGCTTGGCGGGGGCTTGTGTGTGTGTGTGTGTGTGTGTGGGGGGGGCTTCCTAATCATGCTGTCAACAGTCGACTTTATGGGAGCTTTAGCAATGATGATGACGACATGACACTGCCTATTTCCACGTTTTTCTGAAGGACGTGAACACAGGAAAACGATTTTACAATACATGTTTTAAACTTAGATACATTTCTTTAGAATTCAACCCCAGAAAAATTCACCAACATTTGATAAATTGAACGACATGGATGACAAGGGCGATGAATTTCGAGAAACCGTAAATTCACTTTTTAGGAAACATTTTCTCCACCGTCGTCTTCGTCGTTGCTTAAGCTCCCTGTTGTCGGAACCGGTTTTTTTAATGATGAAGACGGGGTTACCCTTCAGCACCAACCCTTGATGGATGCAAAGCTAATTAGGGATGCGTTGATGGAATTTTTCCCTAAAGGGGCCACACGCCACAGGGCGTGCTGCGATCTTGATCAGGCGTTTCACGACAAAAATGAAGCATAGACCAATACGTACCAGTGGACATTTTATGAATGGATTTTTATTTCCTAAATGTAAAGTAAATATGAGCAGGTAGTTATATTCAACAAAAACTATTAAGTTATCAGTTGATTTCCCCCTTTATATCGTTCTGAAAGGGGCTATGTTATAATGGCTACACATTTGTTGGTCAAAGATGAGCTTAAATTCTTACTAAATATTTTCTGCCTTTATCATACTTGGAACCCGAAATGAAAGACGCCAAATAATTCTATCAAAAGGAAAAACAAAGCAATGATATAATTGTTGGTCATTTTTCAACAACGCAGGATTTTATCCTGAAAAATTTGGACAAATTCTTGCAAATTTCTAACCGATTTCATCCTGGCCATCAAAAGCTAAATGCCCTTATAGTTGAGGCATGCAGTCAAACCTCTTTAATACGGACCGGCACCAAAGGGACAGAACCAAGTGTCCGCTTTACAGAGGTAGAGAATGTGTGATTTCAAGAGAGGATAAAGGGGACAGAAAATGCATCCCCCATACACACCCTATTCCATAGGTAATTCGTCTCAAGTTATTTTTAAGACCACAGATCCCAAGGGGGATTAGACAACAGCCAATCACATAGTGCGAATGTGTTCCGCGTGGATGACCCACGCAGTCACGCTCAGAGACACGCGTCCTTCACGAATTGACGTAGAACAGAATGGCGGAAGACGCGGAGAGCGATATTGCTATTCGTTTTGTCGACGAAAACGAGTCTGTGTCAGCGAAAAGGAAATTAAAAAAGAATCGCCTTCCTCGCTTGTTTTGGCGAAGAAGATGAAAAAGTCAGCGCAAGCGAGGAGGAAGCTGTAACTGAAACGGAGAGTGCCAATGAAATACAAGAAAACGTAAAAAGCTCCTATTCCGATGATAGTTCATAGCAGATGAATCGAAGAGTAGGAAAAGTGCAGGGAAGCCTAAACCTGCGCCTTCGAGTTCGACCGTCACCAAATCAAGCAAAAAGGCACCGAAGAAATCAAATAAACGGAATAAGAGTCTTTCGGAAGAAGAGATGGAGCGATTCCCTTTTCCCAGGTGAGCGCCGACTCATTTCGCTTTAATATTCAGGAATGCTCTCGATCTCTTTACGCTTTCATTGCCTTTCGCTCGACACGTTTTGCAAGGCGTTTAGTCGTGCGAAACCTGCACGAAACATCCACGCAGTGCGCGAGGTAACTTTATCCCGATTCTAAAAATAGCTCAAGACGAATTACCTATGGAATAGGGTGTGTATGGGGGATGCCTTCTCTGTCCCCTTTATCCTCTCTTGATAAAATAAATTAAATTACTAAGAGATAGAGACAAGGAAAAAAGAGAAGATAAAATAATAATTACAAGGAAGTTGTCGAAAAAGTTAGTGGAAATTTGATTTAAATTAGAACAAAGTTCAGGACAGAGCTTAAGGCTTAAGGCTATTACAGTTCTCACTAGGCTTTTTTATTCTTTTGAGAATAAAAGGTGCTTCAACTTAAACTGGTAAACGTCCTCGGTTTGCCAAAGAAATTTTTAACGTATATTCATGACTAAGTTTTGAAGGCTTGACAAAATTTTTAAATTTTTAAATTTTCTCTTAAAAGAGAAAAAAATATTCATCCAATAATTTCCTTTTCCCCAACCCGAAAAACTAAAGTAAGACCACAAACTCCTTTGAAAGAATGTAAAAAGCCTCTTCTTTAGTTTATTTTTTACTCTTGGATACATTGTGAGGTTATACACGCCCACAAAAAGGGCTCTTGAGGTTAACCGCTTATCACGACTCTAAAAGCGCGCAAAAATAAAATGACGTGTCGTAAATCAGCAAAGCGTGACAGAGGTCAAAACGAGCTACAACGGGATATCGCGAATTTGTTCAAGAGATTTCTTGGTTTTGGATCAGTTTTACCAGTGTCTTCCTCATCTAATTATGAGACAACTGCCAGGAAAAGCGTCCAAAGAAACCAGGAGAATGAAAAGAGAAAGAAAGAAGGGAAATTATGAGGGACATCAGAAAATGTTAACCGTCGCGTTACCCGTTTTCCTTGGCTTGTTCGTTTTGTTGGTTGCCTACGTTTACACCACCGCCAGCAAGCACTGATGTAACGGAATTTTTATCAAAGAACTGAGCAGGCGAATGAAACATGGATGTAGCTGATTAACAGTTTTAAAAACGCAAAAAGACTTCTGGAAAATTAGCTACCTACCCTACACTGACCTTTATATGTGACCATGGCGCCTCCATCGACACTTAAACATTCGGAACTTTTAGTTCAGGGACAGTGCAGTCTTCAGTGACTTTAAATGTTTTTCTTGAAAATGAAATGAATACGGTAATGGAATTCTACAGCTCACGAAAGGTTTCTTCAAGACGTTGCTCTTTCTTGGGAGTTATTTGGTAGTTTTTACTTGAGTTGGTTTGATCATCCATATTTCATTAAGTCGCAAGATTATTGTAAACATGAATGTCGTTCTTTGTAAAATGGAACATCTGGAACAGCTGACTTTTTTTATTTCATCGATAGTTTAGTGGCGTAAGTTGTAATCTTAAAGTTATTTGAATGTGTCGTTGTTAGAACAAAGAAAGAAACCTGTATAAAAATGCTATATTTTGATGTAAATGACTGAAATATTGCATTGAGTGTTTCCCGTTTTCTATGCTGTAATTTTTAGAATACTTTTCAGTACAGAACTTATACAAGTATGAGTTTTCCGTCATTACGATCTTATTGGAATTTCAGGAAGTCTATTATTCCTAAGTGGCGATGATATAGTTTCCCTTGCTAACCTGTGTATTGGCTGTTTAGTCACAGGGAGCCCGCACAATCTCTTTGTGTAGCCGATTGTTATTTTATAGTAAATGTTTTGGATTTACCGTTTGCCTCACCTATAGCGATATATCGCTAAATATGTATATAAATCAATGATAAATAAACGTCGAATTACCTTACCTGTGGTATATAGTCGTCCTTCTTTTACAAGGAACAGTCAACGGCGAAATCCAACTCCTTCAAAATCGCTCAAAAAACCGCATTTGAGGTAAAAGGACGACTATATACCACAGGTAAGGTAATTCAACGTTTATTTATCATTGATTTATATACATATTTAGCGATATATCACTATAGGTGAGGCAAACGGTAAATCTGGTACATTTACTATAAAATAACAGTCGGCTACACAAACAGATTGTGTGGGCTCCCTGTGGTTTAGTACCTGGTTGAGAACATTTGTATTTCATATGTTGAGAAAACCCCAGAAAAAAATAATGAAAAGGTCTCCCTTAAGCGCCTTGCGCTGATAATTAAGCAAAAGAACAACGAGAAAAAAACACAAACACAAAAGCACGAAAAAAATTTCAGGTGTAGTTTTGCGTGACTGCTAAACGAGACAATGCGTGACAAACGTAGTAACCCGAAAAGGACTGGAACTGAGTTGCAAGGAGTGCTTGGGTCCGCCAAAATTTAATCTCACATTTCCCGACTTTTTACGATTTCTTTTTGAAAATATATTTGCTAGTTGATTCAGTCCGCGCCTTTGCACCTTTTTTGTGGCCTCTTGAACAAGTTTATTCTGTAATGAACGCCCTTACACGGAGAGGTCGAGGTCTTTTGGTGGCATTCGAAGGTTGTGATCGAAGCGGGAAATCAACACAATGTCAGATGCTCGTGGACTACTTGAAGTCTACTGGGCGAGATGTGGCACACTTGTGCTTTCCAGGTGAATTAATGTAGAGATCTAAATAATCATAGCATTAATTAGAGATCGGGTCATATCAGCTCTTGTAGTCAATCCTTTTCCACTGTACAATATGCATTTTTTAAAGTCTAATAACTGTATGTCCCTTTTCTCCTCGGCCTTCCCACCCCTCGATGGCAGTAATCTTTTTTTTTTTTTTCGATGGTAGTATGATGCTGCTGAAAGCGTTTTTCATCTGCTATTTCAGCAGACAAGAGTTGAAATAATTAGGGCTTTCATGATAAAGTAATGAAACTTGGCATACTTGCACATTAAAGTATCATAATCTGGGCTATCTGGCTTTTGGACCAGTTTACTCTGTTGGACCAGAAACCAGGGAAGGCCCTGATTCAGTCAATCTGAAATCTACATACTTTTAGAGTTCTTTGTACCTGTGAATTTTTTCCTTTGATCATTTCACCCTGTTATACATGTATTTCCTCTTGTTAACCACAGACAGCTTAACCGCTCAATGCTCACCATTCACATCGTATTCACGTAGTTAGTGGAGGAGAATGAAAGGAAGCAAAGATCAAAGACAAAAACAATAGTACTGTAGCTGATGTTGAGGCTCCCTGACAGTGCACAATCCTTTGTTTTCTGTTCACAAATTTTGGTCAATAAGATCAAAATAATAGGAATGCTATTGCACTTTGTGTGCCATCAGGTTCACCAAGACATAGAACAAGGGAGTCTGATGGGCTTCATTACCATTCTACTTTATTAACTATGCCATTCAGTCCATTCACGACTTAACCTGCAATCAGGCATCCTTTCCTTGTTCTTTGCATGTTCTTTGTTGCCTTTTGCCAATGTTTTCCTCCGAAAAGAAAAAAAGAGTGCCTGATCGCAGGTTATTCACAACCACTCATTAACCCGCTTTGTCCTGGTGGTACTCCTGGAATATGTGTGTGGGGTAGGGGACCAAAATATGTAGTTTTTCCCTACCCTGTTTCTACCTTGCAAGCAGAGGATTGCAGGGTAGAAAAGACGTGGCGTGTGAAAAGAAGCCTCTCCTGTCAAACATCCATTTCTGTCGAGCAATAATTTAGACAAATAAATTAAAAATAATGATTGGTATCTAAACCAGCTCTAGACTGGTTTGGCAATTGCATCAGCTTGATCTGCTGTCATGTCAAGTTTACCGGGTACTCAATGGGTAAAGCACTGAGCGTGTTTTTAATAAAAATGTGCCATGGTATCTGTCATTATGCCCAGAAACTGAGTGAAGAAACTTTCGCATGTACGATACAAAATGAGATGGTTGTTGGCAGAGATTACTTTTGCATGCCAGTTTATATTGTGAAAAAGTAGCCACCGCTCGCAGGGTGCCTTGTTTGAGAACTGAACTATTGTTTTGAAGAGACGAATGACCTAAAAAAATACCTTACTCCATACCTTGGTTCCAGAAAGCGCAAAACCTTATCTTATCTACTCGTAAAGAGTCAAAAACCATAACCTTTTGGGCCTATATAAATTATTTAAAGGAGTGCCCCCTCCCCCTCCCCATTTCCTTCAAGACACTTTGCTTGTAAATATCTGATAAAAGAATGCACCTCAATATTTGAACATGTCCTAGGCCAGGTTCTCTATTTTCTTTTAGACAGAACAACAAGCATAGGAAAGTCCATTAATTCATATCTTCAAGGAACAACGGAGTTAGAGGATCATGCGATCCACTTGCTATTTTCTGCAAACAGATGGGAGGCTGTGTGAGTAATTTTTAATTATTGAATGTTATTTTATGTTAATGGCTTAAAAAATACACCAATGCACCAAGTGAATAGTTGAGTTCAGCTTGTGGGAATTCTTAAGAACACAGGAGAAGTGCCAGAGAAGCACAATATTGATGTTGAATGGAACCAATGGTTATTTTTGGGATTAGCGTCCTTCCCTACCCCTGGAATGTCCAAACAGTGTGATCAATAAAAAATACAAATTCCTGCCAATAAAAGCTTGCCTTAGAATTTCTTTACAGGTCTACATTTTTTTTGCATGAAGTGACAGTCAATTTTTTTCCAAGGCACCTTTTGTTAGGTGTTTATTCATGTTAACAAATCTGTTAATTTTTCTAGGCCAAAAATAAAGGAGCTTATTGAAAAAGGAACTTTGGTGATAATGGATCGTTATGCTTTTTCTGGAGTTGCTTTCACAGCTGCCAAGAAGGTTTGCATGAAAAATTGTTTTTTAATGATATTTAACCATTGTTATTATTATTATGTATGGTTTACTGATGTTTGTACTTGGTGGCAGCAAAACATGATTCAAAGCAAAATTTGGGCTGCTTTGCAACGAGAAATTATTAATAAACACTGTGTTTTGTTTAAATCAGGAATAGCATAAAGCTAGGGTATAATCGTGATCAACAAAATTATACTCGATGGACAATGTATGACAGTGTATGGGTAAATCAACCTGATACGTACATGTATGTTGAATGCTTTAACAGCTCAAAATAACATAATGAGTAAATTAATTTACAAGGGATGTTCCATCGAGATGCATTAGGTGATTATTACGATGTTGCTGGGGCCGATGGTGGCGGAAATGATGTTGATATTGAAGATTCTTATTCTAGTCTGTGCTGATGATGTTTTTCATTTCTTCATTTTCTACTTATGACAGTCTTCCTCCCCTTCAAAAGAATAATTTTTTTAATCATCTTTTTATTTGGGATTTGAGCCAATCACAAAGGGAGAGATACCATAAAATTCTGAAAATAAGCCCCTCCATGTATAAGCCCCTCCAAATATAAGCCCCCCAAAACTTGTAATGCAAAAAACCCTCCGTTAAATCGCCCCTTCAAATATAAGCCCCCCGGGGGCTTGTACTTGGAAAACTGCCCTCAAATACAAAGTAAAACAAAGAAAAACGGTAAATTTCCTACCAAGAATAAGGCTAGCCCAATCGATTTTAAATGCAAATTTCCCTCTGTACATAAGCCCCTCCAAATATAGGCGACTCCAAAAATAAGCTCCTCAAAAAGGGCCTTTGAAAAATATAAGCCCTAGATAAAAATGCTATTACTATTATTATTATTATGGAAACTAATATCAATATGGATGATGTTTTCCATTCCTTCATTAGTCCAAATGTTCTGTCTGCTTTTTAAAAGTTTTAGAAAATTAAGGGTTGCTTATTTGAATGAAGTCTAACTTACACCAGGTTGTGAGTACCTTTCTAGTGTATGTTTTATACTTTCATGAAACTGTTCATGAGAAACGGTGATTAGATAAAAGTGTCGGGCAAAGTGAAAATGTCTTAGAACACGGTTTTGTTAAACACTCTTTAAACTCTGTTTAAGTAACAGGTACTAAATGTCTTGAAAACCTTTTCTAGGGTTTTGATGTGAAATGGTGTAAAAATCCTGACAGAGGTTTGCCAAGTCCTGATGTGGTATTTTATTTAGACATTTCAATTAAAGATGCAGAAATGAGAGGCCAGTTTGGTGAAGAGAGGTATGAAAAGGCGGAGTTTCAACAACGAGTTGCCGATATCTACAAACAACTTAGGAGTGATGATTGGAAGGTAAATAATTATATTGTTTGTTCTTAAAAATGAAACAACAACAACAGCAACAACAAATTTATTTAACTACTCAAGACACACAACAAAAGCTGATTTTCAGGTCGGGCGTAGGCAAACGCATATTACAAAGACCTACAAAAAATAAAAGCAATATGGTGTTCACTATCTGAATGCAAAATGTTACAAAATTTTAGAGAATAATCAGTTACATAAAAATTTATTCTTTACAGCTAGTTTTACAATATATTATGTTGGTGGGAGGTTTTGGAGAATAATTTACATAAAAATTAAAATATTTACACATACAAAGTAAGAAATCATAGCAAAAATTAATCCAGCAGAAGGCAAAGGGGCAAGTTTGCTTTTAATTTCTGAAAGTGATTGTGCTGTTTTTGCTTTTATAAGAAATGTTGTTCCAGAGCATACCACAATATTTAAAACTACGTTTTAGAAAAGATTCATTGACATCCAAATATTATTGTACATGACCTTTTATCATTTTTTCATCGTCTTTAATCTTAATAAAAATGTCACCTTCCAATTTCAAAATGATGATGACCAAAAACACAGCTTTTATGTCACCGGTTTTTTTCCCATTATTCACAATTTGCGATTCTTGGAGCTCCCTTCATTAGCAAAAAGCACTGAAGGTGGCATTGAGGTACCCATCATCCTCCTGAACAAAATAGTCTGAGCTGATAACAGCCAAGCAAGGCAAACACAGCATTTTGTGTGAAGCGGGAGGTGAGGGGAGGAGAAAAATAAAGCGCCTGTTAGCAGTCCATTGTTCTGGCTTTTCCCACGTTCGCTATATGATGCAATATTCTGGCATGTTTGTCTGGAACAAAGTAACCGTCATGCAATCATGTTCTTTTGACAATGCTGTTCGAGAAGCCTTTCGTTTATTTCCAAATGTTCCAGAATAAAAAAAGAAAAACAAAAGAAATGTTTAAAGATGTTCTTGGATTGCGTCCAACTAGGTTAGAAGAAACCCTGATTTACTAACTTTTTTAAATTTAGTGTTGACAGGCCAAACATGACTCATAAGCTCATGACCTTGGAATTTGTTTGAAAAACATGTTTTCCCTCTTTCCTTCTCGCTGCTGTGTTTGGACATAACTAAACTTTGACGTAGCAAGTGTTACTTTTGCCGCACTGAGTCTTACATTATTGAAGGTGATTTTGCCCTCCCACTTATTTCCTGTGTTTTATGCTGTTATCGGTGTTTCTGGTGTACCTCAGGGTTCTGTGTTGGGCCCCTTGCTGTATTCTTTGTACACTTCCCCCTTAGGTGATATCGCGAGATCTCATGGTCTATCTTATCACTTTTATGCTGATGATACACAGCTATATTTATATTTTGAAACGTCATCGCCTGAGGATTTGTCAACATGTACATCTGCCCTTGAAGATTGTGTTAATGATATTGACCTTTGGATGTTAAATAACAAGCTAAAGCTGAACAGTACAGTGGGAAGACTGAAATTATAGTTTTTTCATCCTCCTATCGCCCACGTCCTGCGTTAAAAAACCTGGTGATTGCCTCTGACACTGTTGACTGTTCAACTACTGCTAAAAATATTGTGGTTATTTTTAATAACTCTCTATCGATGTTGCCGCACGTTACTGCTGTTTGCAAGTCTTCGTTTTTTCATTTACGCAATATTTTTAAGATTCGCAAGTTTCTTTCTTACGATACATGTAAAACTCTAATTCATGCCTTTGTTACTGCAAGGATTGACTATTGTAACTCATTGCTCTACAGTCAGCCTAAATGTATCCTGAAACATTTACAGAGTGTCCTAAATAGTGCTGCTAGGCTTATTCACCTTACTAGTAGATATGAGCATGTTACGCCAATGCTTATTCAACTTCATTGGCTACCAATTGAACAAAGGATAACTTTCAAAATTGCAGTAATTACATTTAAGGCGCTTCATGGTGCTGCACCTAGCTATATCACTGATCTGATCAAGCCTTATACACCTGGTAGACTTCTTAGATCCTCCAATCAATTTTTACTTTCTACATCTAAATTTAATCTTAAAACTTATGGTGGCCGGTCTTTTACTATTGCTGCACCTTCTGTTTGGAATGCACTTCCATTCGAACTTAGATCTTGTAATTCCCTTTCTTCTTTTAATTCTAAGCTCAAGACTTGGCTTTTTAAAATTGGTCATGATGTTGTCGTATAGAATGATGATGTTTTTATAGGGTGAAAATGTAGTTTTGTAGTTTTGTAGGTTTAGGATTTTGTTGTTATTTTTGTTATGTAAAGTGCTTTTGGACCATTGGGAATTTTTATAGAATGACAATGTAGTTTTGTAGGTTTAGGATTTTGTTGTTATTTTTATTATGTAAAGCGCTTTTGGACCATTGGGAATTAGCGCTCTATAAATACTGTATATTATTATTATTATTATTATTAAAGGTGACAATTTTTGAACAATGGATCGTGTTTTGATTGGTCCTTTTGCTATCACCACCATCAGTCAATACTTGTGGGCGTAGGTGGGCAGAAGAGCCAGAACAATGGACTGGTAACAGGCGCTTTATTTTTCTCCTCCCTCAGCTCATGCTTCACACTTGTTTCGCGCTTTGCACAAAATGCTGCATTCACCTCGCTTGGCTCCTCAAGCATCTGTTATGCAGGCTAGAGCTGTGATGAACATGAATGAAAACAACCATCTAATGTAAACTGTGATACCATAATTAAATTCATAGTGTTTCTTTACAGTATTATTTTAAACTAAAGAACATTTTAAGATGATCGACATTTTCATGTGTAAAGGAGTTTAGGAAAAAAACATGTTTTACACAGGAAACATAACATTTTTTATATGTGACTCTGTTGAACTCATAATCTAACATAAAGTTATGACTGAAGAGAGTTGGAAAAGAATCACAAACTTTTGGTCAGTCAGGTGATCTCAGATAATTCAGAGCTGGAAAATTGAGAATGCAGACTCTGGTGAGGGTTGTTGCAATGCATCATTGTATTTCTACAGTCGTAACAGAGCATCCAACTAGTGTTTGGAGGGTCGTAGGTTCATTTCTGAGCTGGAGCTCAGAAGTTTTTGCTGAGTTCTTCTTTCCATAAATATCTTCTTTTTTATCATTGAATAAATTTTGTGGCATTGATTATGCAGGTGTTAGATGCAATGCGGGATAAGAATGATATTCATATGGAGATTCGCAGTACTTTACTTGAAATGGAGGAACTTTGCAGAGATGCCCCCTTGAAAAATCTTTGGACAAATAATAGTTGAAGACAAGACTATTGCAATCTAGAAAATCAATTCAAGCTTTTCAAGTGAAAGTCTCGGGAAGGTAGGGCAGTAGTAATGTAACAAAAGACTTGAAGTGTGCAAACTGGGAAATTTGAAAAATGGGCACCTTCTTTGAGGGTTGATCTGACTCTCGTCACTTTGAATTACTAACTTTTTATGTTCTATTTATACTATGGTACAATTTATTCATGGCTGGCACCAGTGAATTGTGAATTGTTAAGAGATTATTGCCTTGTACACTTTAAGTAAGTTATGCAAAGTTGAAATAAAAATAAAATGCTTGATATCCACAGCTCATGCAGTCAACTCTTCATAAGATGGACACTGTCCAGCGACTGAGCCAACTGTCTGTCTTAAAGAGGTGTCAGTACACAGGTACCCCAAGCTCACAAGTGAGAATTTTTGTGTAACAGAAAATTATTTTAAGGGTTTGTATGGGGATTTTACGATCTTTATTTAGGGGTAAAAAAAATAGCATACAATTATCCCCGGAAGGGGGAGTGAATAGTAGTGGATATATACTGAGATGCAAATCGTCGAGGTATATATCCCCTAAGGGGGAAAGTTGTTTTAGTATTTACCAAATAAAAATCAAAAAGGAGCTTTTTGTAAATAAAGGGCGTCACTTTGTTAGAGTTTGTTTACGTTTCAATTGACAGTGTTTCGGGGATCATTTTTTATGATTTTGTGGCAAATTCAGTGAGAAATTTTTTTCTTGCGACCAGTAAACACCAACAAGCTAAATGTTGTCTCTTCCTTGGTATTTGTTGGTGCAGCTTCTTCATTTACCGATAAAATTTCATCTTTGAAAACTGTTGCAAAACAAGAAGCCATTTTGAATCTCATTCCAAAACAGTGAACGTCCAATGATATTCTGAGTAAGTACGGGAGCCAATCAGAACGCATGAAAATTGCCATAATTATTCCTTGAGCCCGAACAGAACCTCTTACCTTGTCCACTTGTTTTATTTATGGTGTGTTCTTAGCATTTTTGGCTGTTTGAGGGTGATTTCCAGTGAGTTTTAGTAGCGCTTACAGTGTAAGAGGTTTCATTTGAATTTTTCATCCAAAGATTAAAGAGTAAGAAATACATAAAAAAATCAATAGTGCAATGTCAAATCAGGGCCACAGACGTTTCAGTTGGATGGTCACTGTGCCCTATATAACAATCATTGAAATCCTCATACAAACTCTTATAATATTTCTGTTATGTAGCAATTCTCACTTGTGAGCTTGGGGTACCTGTGTCAGTTTTAAGTTACTGTAAAATGACTGATGAATGACATTGAAGAGGCCCTGTTACTAGTAAGGGTAAGATTCCATCAAGCAACATGGCCTTGAAACACCGACATAGGACAACAGAATGGCGACAAAGGACACAAAAAGGGTTGAAACTGCAACAGCGACAGAGAAAAGCGCAAATTTCGACAGCGACATGGCTTCCTCCTTAATACGCAAAACGACAGGCTTTGAAATCCTAGGGACTAGCATTAGTGGATCCAGACCTCCAGATAAGGCGGGGTGGCGGGGGGGGGCGGTCATGCAGACCCTGAGAAAAGCGGGGGAGCCCAGTCTCAAAAAAAATGTTTTTGGCCCCTCGTACCTCAGTTTGGATTCGCCCCTGACTAGGGACATACGTAACCCCCTAAGAGGGCCTCATTGAAGGGTTTGGCACCAGGTGTCAGGCTTGGGATCAGCTGAGGTTTCTGGGTAATTGACCCCCCACCCTTCCCCCAAATCAACATTAACACTTACTTCTCACTTAGGGCAAAATTGTGACTTAGGGGAGGGGTAGGTGGTCAGTTACACAAAAACTTCAATTGATCCCAGTCTTGTATAGCTGTCTGTATTTCCTACATTCATTGCCACTTGTTATTCTCACTGAGGTGAGTGGTTTTATAGGCAGTATTGTGAACACTTTTGGGTAATTAGAGAGCTTTAGATTCTGTGACAAGGACGAATATTCGAGTACGAGATTTTCTCAGTGCTCACGCGTGAACCAACGTCATTTTGGCGGGAAAACTTGATAGCCGTCGTCATTCTACTACGAGTTTTAGCGAGAATGTCGTAGTGGCGGGAACAATTTATCAAATGTAAGAAGTTTTATCATATTGCTATCGGCTTAACCTCCTTCAGTCTAAATAACCGTGCTAACTTTTGTGGTGAAAAAAAGTAAAATAAAGCTTTCCGGGGTGTCTTTTTTTGAGAACACGCGTAAAAAAGTTTAAATTCAATCTCGTACTCATACTCGTTCTCGTCATCAAATCTAAAGCTCTCTAATTAGTGACCTTGGGAACACTCCCCTAAAATGCCTTTACGAAGTAGGATACGTCATTTGAAACGCTCGGACTTTTCACTTGACTCAGACAGCGAATTAAAACTTTTCACATAGAGCCTTTTCCTGGTCTGAGAATTTATTTGATTGCCAAATTCTTCTGAATCGACGTCCAAATTTAATAACGCGAGAAGCTCATATCCACCCAATACTTATCCAAACCTGAAACCCATTTACATGTACTCTCACGGGCTATTTGTGTTCATTTTACATCCTTATTTTGTTGCACCGTTGTGGGACGTCTGTACATCATAAATGTTATTATTTTTCTTTCGTGACGCGGACAAAACTCAGAAAAGCTATCGCCGATGAAGGGTGTCTGAGTCAACTTTCCTGTGGTCGAATCAGCTGATGATAAGCTTGTTTGCTTGTGGGTAGCCTGTGTACAGACGTGCCCCCTCCCTCAGAAAAAAATAGGGAGAAGAGACACGGGGGACGTCTGTACACAGGCTACTTGTGGGCAACTTACCTTAAATCTTTCATTTTCTCTTTTTACAGAGGAAGAAGGAAAAATGAAAGTTTTAACTTCTGGTCGGTCAAATAAATAGTGTGACCATCAACTGAAACCTCTTTCAGTTGGCCCTGCTTTCACATTGCACTATTATACGTATTTCTTACTTTTAAGTCTGTGGATGACATATTCAAATGAAACCTCTTTCACTGCAAAGCAATACTTTCACATGGTACTTAACTATTATTTATTTAGTGTGTAGTGCTAACTTTTGTGTCTGTGGACGAAATCCTATGGTGTTACCATTCAAATGGAACCTCTTCAGCAGTACTTTCACATGGTACTATTTATTTAGTATGTAGTTCTAACTTTTGTGTCTGTGAACGAAATCCTATGGTGTGACCATTCAAATGAAACCTCTTCAGTAGTACTTTCCCGAACTTTCACATGGTGCTATTAATTAACTATGTATGTTCCAACTTTGAGTCGGTAGGTGAAATCCTGTGGTGTAACCATTCATACGAAACCTCTTGAGCATTTTCCATGTTCGGCCTTAAATAACAAAATAGTGAGGAAAATGTTTAAGTTATTATCTCTTTTTCACTTTTAAAATCAAACCATGGCATGTAAAAAATCGGAAACTACCTTTAATATTTCGACGTCTCGTTTCGAACATAACCTTTTTTACAAGCAGATTGAGATATTTGCTGTTCTTCCATTCAGGACCTAGCAAACGAAACTATGTCGAAACGAAAAAGTATTGTAGATTGCTGTAGACGTGGGCTGTAGATGATTCAGATGTGCCCGCCGCTCGCCACATAGATAATTTGATAATTGCGCAAATTTTGCCGGAAGCATTAGCATTTACAAATGCTTCCGCTACTATATTGACGACGCTAAGTTTTGTATGTATATACGCATATAGAAAAAGGTAGACCTCATTTTCTTAGGTCGTGAGTGAAGCGAAATCTCGCGCGTACTCGCGCAAGTGTGACACTCTTTCTTGTCGAGTTGTTTTCAAACAAAGTTAACCAAAGAATGCTGTTGTCCGTCGAACACTGACGATTTTTTATTTGCTTGCATTTGTTTTGATAGTGGATTCTTTTTTTCAAGCTTAAAATTCCTTGTTACGGAATGAGGAAAAGTTGTCTGGAGCAAATTTTCCCTGTCTGTCTTCCAGAGATGCCAGAGAGGCGGATTGTCTGCATAAGACATCATTGACAAGTCCGGACAAGGCAGATTAGCAGACACCACAGTGGGATATCAAGTTGATGATCCCGTTATCGAGGGATGATCTCATTTTCAAGAGCGAAAGGTCGAATGCAGGGCAAGCGCATTAATCTTTGTTAGTCTGCTAAGACACAAACAATTTCGGTGGGCTTGAAAAAAAACTCTGTTTTGATTTAACCGCAATCCAAACATTTGCGATGGTTCGGAAAATACATGAAGATCGTTTACTTGTTTTTTCAAAGAATTCGAGCCCTGCGGAAATTGCTGTAATATCGCTAGAAGATCTGTTCGTTTTAAATCTTGCTTGACAGCCAAATTGTGTAAGAGAGGACATTTCCTCGTTTGTAGAAATCTCTGGCAGAAATCTGTGCTCTGTGGAAGAATTCATCGGTTTTCATCAGGTAGTAGGACGTCTGTTTGTGGTCGTTAGAGTAAACATTTAGCAGTAGGGTAAATCAAAATTTCATCGAGGCGAAAACGCTGCACGAAAACGTGCAAAGCAAATCTAAACGATTTTACTATCATTGTAAACAAGGCAAGGACAAAGACCGGAAACTTTCAACTTGCCGGATGTTGGTTTTAAGCAATTACCATCAATAATGCCTGGAAATTTCACACCTAGCTGTTGTTTGACGTTTTATTGCTAGTTTTCTGAGAACAATGGTTGATTTAGCGACGTTGACTATTTTTCGGTTAAGAAGATCTCTTTAAACGCGAGAAGCCTTTTGGCTTCTTTGCGGTTTCTTATCCATCGCCTTGTTTTAATCTGTCATTGATCGCTTCGATGGTGAACACGAATAAAAACCCTGTCCCCTTCACGTTTCGGTTAGTTGTCCGATCTTCTTATCAAGTAAATTGACACAGAAGGACATTTCAGCAAGTTGCCTCGGAAGTCATAAGATAGCCCCCCTGGGACAAGCCAAACAAACAATTACAACTTTCCCGCAGCGGGTCAACAAGGTATATATTATATTTTTTCAAAATCCGGCCTTCGAATAGCGATGGATAGCCATTTGACTTGTGGCTTAGCTGTTGGGTCTTAAATCGACTAAACGTGTTTAACATATGAGATTGTCTCTTGTGATCACCACGCCTTCACTTGAGAGGGCTCTAGATATGTTCTTTGTATAACGCAACGCGGTTGGTGATTGGTGCAGTGTGTTTTCACTCTGTCAATCGTTACAATAGTAGCCAATGGCATATAAACATCAATTTACCCCCAATGGCTCGCACTACGTCGTGAGTTATTTCAACGCAAGGTCAAACAAGAGAAGTCAATAGTCTTACAAGAGAGAAGAGGGAAGATTAGAATCTTTTTCGCCACACGCGTATTGATTACCCAACGGGAATCAAATGGATGTGGGACCGTTAACGCGAAACTACCCGAATGTATTCGAATGCCTGACAAGCCACAGTCCATCGATTCCTGCCTTTGGCCTTCAGAGAGCTGTCTTGCCCGATAACACTGATGTGACTCAAGATCCAAGCCATGGATATATTTACGCGGACTCTCCGATTCATATGCCCGGTTTAAGGAACAGCGCGCACGATTATCTCCATTCTCTCTCAGGAGGAAGCGCTCAAGGTGCGTTTAACCTGCCGGCCAATTATCCTGTGCCAGCTGCGTATTCGACGCTGGCTGCCCGCGGAAGAGATTTCCTGCTACGCCGTGAACACACAGTAACGCTTCCCTCAGTTTCGTTACCAGCGACTCACACTATCTCCGTGGACGTGACAGCTTCTTCGACGAATCTCGTTGTCCCACCACCACCGCCCCCTTCTGCGTTCCAACAAACGGCGATCTTTACATCAAGCAACGTGGCTCTACATGCCATTAACTTGCCTAGTTTCTCGGCCAGCGCTGGTGCTCCGTTAGGACCGCCTCAAACGCTGGTCCAGCAAGATGCACAGCATGGAACGACGTTTTCTAATTTGGGTCTCCCTGCTGTTCAGGAGTCACTGCCCGTGTCTGAATCCAGCAATAGCAATAGTGATTCTCACACAGAAACCTCGCGTGCGTCTGTGAGCATTGGTGATTCCCAAGGAAGCAATGATCTTCCTCGGCCAAGTCCGCTTAATGCTGTCAAATCTGGCTTCGTACCTTCGCCCTCTAGCGTTGTTCCGCCGATGGAGTTGTCGGCTAACGGCGCCTTTCTTCGTTATATCAGGCCACAGAACAAGCAAGAGTTTGTTTGCCGATGGTCCCTCTTGCGAAGCAAAGTATCGATTCCCTGTGATAAAAGCTACTCGACGATGCAGGATTTAGTGAAGCATATTTCATTAGAGCACGTGGGAGGAACAGAGGTTAGTGCAGCTCACGTTTGCCTGTGGCACGAGTGTCATAGAGGAGGAAAGCCGTTCAAAGCGAAGTATAAGCTTATCAACCACATACGAGTTCATACTGGAGAGAAGCCGTTCCCTTGCCCGTTCGCAAACTGCGGCAAAACGTTTGCACGTTCGGAGAATCTGAAAATTCATAAGCGCACCCACACAGGCGAAAAACCGTTCGTGTGCGAATTTCCTGGGTGCAATCGCCGTTTTGCCAATTCCAGTGATCGCAAGAAGCATTCTCACGTTCATACCGCAGACAAACCGTATCTTTGCAGAACCCAAGGCTGTGGAAAAAGCTATACACACCCAAGTTCTCTCCGGAAGCATTTAAAGATGCACATGAAGGCCGCAAATTTGGACAATCATGATAGTATGGCGTTAATATCTGCGCAAGCTGAACTTCAGCTAAACAGTTCAAGCACAGCATCGAGAGGTGTACAGCCTTGGTTTGGCCTGGCTCAACAATCACCAAAACTCAGCCTTCAGCAGTCACCCACAACACTCTCAATGAAAGAAGAACCGTCTCGTTAATCTGAACATTTGCTATTTTTTGAACATTGTTCAAAGGAGATAATTCCTATGAGCTCATTGACTGAACAGACTTCACTGATAGTTGTAGACTTTTATAGAATTCGTGTTTGAAGAACCAGATTTTTTTTTATATTTGTTAAATTTATTGATATCCAGACGTTAAATCGTTCGTTTGGTAAGCGTTATTTAAAAGCGTTTTAGATTTCCAAGATTTTAATCCCTTTTTTACACCATTGAAAATGTTAGTTTCTTTCCCACGCAGATGTCGCAAGTCAGTTGATAAGTGTCGATTTGTGATCCGTAATCAAGAACACATTTTATGAAAAGTATTTTGTACAAAATGATACGTAGGAGAAAAAATTTCAAATGTCATATCGTTCGCGTTCTTTAGATATCAAATCGACAAATATTCATTTACTAAGACGGAAAGTAATTTATTTGACAAAAATCTATTTTTTCAGGCTCGCTTCCACGCTTGCAGAACGTCGGACAAATAAAGATGGTATTGAAAGATATGTCTTGTCATGCTGTGCATTGATGCTTCTATTTGTACTCCGAAAACAATTTACAGGCAACCGGCCTTGAGGTCACAAACTTATGTCGACACTTGCTTACATAGATCTGTGGTTATATGTGAAGGGTGTATTGACTATATTTCCCTTCAGGGGGTTAAAAGACGTATCGGTGTAAAACGTTTGTACATGTGTAAGAACACAGTCTACCCCTTAACGATTTTTAAACCTAGTTATCCCTGAGAGAACAGTCGGTGATATCTGCAGGGCCGGGTAGAAATTGAACGTGTTATGAAAATAGACATGACTTTTGATTTAAAGCGGAAAATTAATTGCCATATTAATGACAGTGTTATTGCAATACACTAAAAAAAACGATGTCTCGAACCCTGAACGTTCTGGAACATGTTCCGTCCAAAATCATGACCAACATACGAGGGTTTTTTAGAACGCTTGTTTTGACATATTGTGGCGGAGGCGATTCCAATAGCACCTCGTTGACGAGTCCCCGAAGAAAATTACTCTCTCTTCCGCGAATGTAATTAGCGCGTAAAATGGCTCCTAGTGTGTCTACAGCGAGCCTTTGTAATTACTTTCACGGGTTTAACATATCGCATCACAGATGTTCTCCTCTCCTTTCATAATTTTCGACACAACCCGTCGATAGCATGATCTTAAAAAAATTAGGCTTGTAGATCGATTGCGTACGCCAGTCCAAAAATACAAATTTCTCTTTTTGATTTCTTACCCCCAGCCGAGGGTCAGAGTTTTGTTTCCGCGTGTTTTGACTAGCACTTTAAATTACTTTTCAAACAGGCCACCAAAGGGGACTTGTTGAAAATATTTGTCAATTGTTTTTTTTTTGTTTTTTAGGTTTTTCAAAAACCACATGTGCTAAACTTTGTCCAGCACTACAACGCGTAGCTGAATTCTCGAATTCCGTATTGGTTTCTGATCGAAGCATTTTTGCAAGAGGTTATGTAATAGGATTGCCGTGGAATTAGTAATAAGCAGTGCTGAAGGGAAATACTGCTCAATCACTTCCCGTTGAAGTGGCATACTTTAAGGTTTTATCAAGATTCTGAAGTTAAGACTACCTTCCTAGCTTTTAGTATTGCTGCTGAAGGCGCATTCCAAGAAGAAAGACTCGCACGATCGTATTTTATTCCCGCACCGGCGGGACTTTACTCAAGGGCGGTTTTAAGTACCAAGGGGACCCGACCTTGGCTGATATATACATATATTTTGAAGAACCATAAGCCAAGTAGGGACCAATACCCGGAGGGAGAATCCAAGAAAATTTTGGATCAATTTAGGGGAAAATGTTGGCTTAGAGGAGGGGTAGGTGGGCAGTTTCCTAGAAACCTAAATTACGGGGAGGTTCCGCCTCGAGCTCCAACCCCTTACCCTTTGATAGAAAAAGAACCCCTTTCCTATACCGTCTACAATAGGTACCCCTTTTACACACCTACATTCATGGACAACAGTTTTGGGTCATTTTTGCATTTCTGGGGCGTTTTCAATTCACACAGGCTCAACCCCTACCCTCGCCCCCAAGCAAAGTTGGAGGCGTGTATTCAGAATTTTTCCGCGTTTGAACTTTGTAGAGGGTGGGGGGAGGGAGAACTGCAAGAAAATTTTTGGAAATGATGCACTTTTTTAGGAGGGAACCCAGAAATGACAGAAAAATATGAATACAGCATTGCTGTCCCAAGGACTTTTGTCCATGATTGTGGTTTAGAATTTGGCATCCGTTTTAACTGCTCTATTAAAATGCACCTTTAAAATACGTCACAATACAAGAACAGTTTCTCGACTCTTTCACAGCCATATAATGCAACTGTTAAAAGCCGGCTTTTGCGGGTCTCTTTACAGACCGAAATGACAGATTTTTCTACCCTTTCATATACGTCAACAAGTGAAATCCCCACCCTTTCATTTACCTGAAGCCTGAAAAGGTAGCCCTTTCGGGCGGAGCCTTCCCGTATGGCCATTATAGGAAATACCCCCCTGCCAAATACCTGCCAATCCCAGCCTATTAAGGCAGATTATGGCAGGGCTATTTACAGGGTAGTTTTCCTATATGCTGGCCTCCGGCTTTGTGTCCATCGTTCTTCAGAGGTTGACCCTCTAACGGAAAACCCTCTCGAAACGCTTATCGATCAAATCTATTGTAGACAGTTTACCTTCTCCGAGTATTCCCAGAATATTTAGACAATCTCTTCTTAAGGCCAGTTGGAATGTTTGAAAAGTATGTTTGGGGAAATCGTGACCAAGTGTTGTGTTTTATTCAGAGTGAATTTCTCTAAACAGTAGATAACAAAGGTGAACGGAAAAAACATCCCAGTATTAGACCTACCGTGAACACTGTGATTTTGTTTTTAAATATTATTACTAGGGTAAGATGTGTCCTCTGACTTTCGCCTTTTCGCTTTTTCTTTCTCTATTTTTCTCTATAATGGCGTTTACGGGGTGGCTCCGCCCGGAAGGGGTAACTTTTTCAAACTTCAAGCATATGAAAGGGTACAGGGATATCACTTGCTGAAGTATACGGAAGGGTAGGGAAAGATGACATTTTGGCCTGTAAAAAGGCCCAACAGGGTTAACAGATTTATACTACTACATGATAAATTTCTGCAATTTGATTGGCTTAGAGCAGTGGTATTTCAGCTTAATTTGAAATACCTACATGTGAAAATTACAAACCTTTGCAGGTAGTAGTATAAACAAATAATAGCATGATTTGTACGTGATATTTTACTTAAATACCACTCGTGATATTTCAAAATTGTCTCAAATTTCACTCACCTAACGGCTCGTGAAATTTCGTATAACAATTTTGAAGTATCACTCGTGGTATTACAACCCTGTAATGCCAAATATCACTACAAATCATGCTATTGCCTATACGAATTTTATGGCTGTTAAAAGTCGAGAAAACGTTCTGATATTGTGATTTACTCATATTTAAAAGACAGTGCATTTACAGCAGTTAAAAGAAAAAGGGGTACCAGTTGTCAATTGAAAAAACTGTGTGAATGTAGAGCCGTTCTGATATATCCTTGGGTGGGGATTCCTACCCTGTTTAAGACAGAATTCCAATTTTTGATACCCAGTTTAAGACATTCGTAGAACATAAGCGCAGGCTGTTTATCGTCTAAGAACAGGGTTATGGGTTCCTGTCTAAGAAAAGATACCCTGTTTAAGACAAAAAGTGATAAAATCGATACCCTGTTTAAGACAAAATCCCGAAAAACATACCCTGGCTGGCCGCACGTCCCCATTAAGCCCTTATAAGGGAGTACCCCCTCCCCCGGGATGTAGAGGTCCACGTAACACGTCAATATAACTGACTGTTCCTCTTGCCGGATCTCTAATTTTAAAAGATGCTGTAGCCAGACGTCACTTGATGTGTAAAATGGAACAAAAGTGAATGCATGGCTGGCACTACGGCGAAGGGCTAACAAAATTAGCCTTCCTCAGGGCCAGAGCTGTACCGAGAGAAAATATCTTTCAACGGCTCCTAAAATTTAACTTTAAAATTTACGTAAGTGGTTAATAATTAACTACAATTATAAATACTAAATAGAATAATATAAAGGTGAATGATTATACAATAAAAAAAGAAATAGAGACAGTTCAATTATCATTCGAAGGAGGAATCTTTTCTGCAAAAAAATGACGCGTATATAAATGGGTAAGGGGTTAGACCTCGAGGGGTGCCTCCCCGTATAAAACTTTGTTGAGTACCCCTGAGGTAGATCCCTATATGTATATAGTTCGCTTGTCAGTCTTTTTAAAGGGTCCTGATATGAGAATAAAAATACGTCTTTTATAGAGTAGGTACCCTGTTCCAACCAACAAAGAATGTCCCGCTTTAACGCTGATAGCGCATAAGGTAATGTGCTATTGGTTGCGAAACTAGGCGATGCGAGGAGCAGATTTTCTCACTGAGTTGATACTTGATAGTGAATATTAAGGAATCGGAAAAAAAAAACAACTCTGCTCAGCAAAATAAAGACCTCTCATCCAATTCGAGACCCAGAGAGGCATTGAAAAAGCGTTACATCCCCATATATAGGCCAATATACTCATAGGGTACTTTGCGAGCAGAGGTCCTTTCATCTTCCTAGATAAGTCGGGAAGAGGAACTGCTTGCAGGGTATGATAGAAGAAGGGCCGCGAAATATTCCTACGAAGGAGTTGAATTTTTGACCATTTATTGTATGTGACAATACACGTAGAAAAAAAATTATCAGCCGTTTTATCCTCGAGTATTAGAAAAATATTTTCACACGTTCCTGCTCGCGCGCCTAACGATATTGTCAAGTGTCATCGTTGACACGTTTTCTGATTCTAGTCTACTCTAGAATGTGATAAATAATGCCACTAAACTTGTTAAGTTACACTTTACAAGGAATGTTGTGATTGATTAAGAGAAGTCTGCTTTATTCTTTCAGCGTAATTTACCATGATAAGGTTGTTAGCAGTGTGGCACTCTTGACCTTTCAAAAGGAAACGAATTCTTTGTGCCTGTCTCATTCGTGCAGGATCACACAAGCTGTTTTGTGGTTTTGAAGACAAACCCAAAACATTTATTTAGGAGCCTGTGGTTTTGCTACTTTTATTACAGTACACGGAATGGGTAAGATCCCCAACGAGTTACAGGCTTCCCACATGAGGCACAGGCTCCCCAGTCTGTTTCAGGAATAGCCGATTGCATTGCTGCTCTCTTTTGAGGGATGGAAATCCGTTTTAGCGTACGAGTGGTTTCTTGTTTGTCTAAGAGATAACTATAAAGAAGGTAAAACACGCGAGCGTGCGGAAAATCCTCCCTTAGGTGGTGACGCGCCTCGCGGGGGGATCCAAAGCTACGAGCGCGCGTCCCCTTGGAGCGATCGTCTGTTTTACTCGATATACTGTCTCAAGGAGATGCATAAGAGACCACTCGTAGCGTTTTTTTTCCTCAACGTAATGTAAAAATTTTAGAATCTGTTAAAAAGCCTCAATTGCTAGCTTTTTAATCCGCTTACCTCACCAGGAGTCCATGACAGATGAACCTTTTACAACGGCTGCCAGTAGGAGAGAGCAGTTAGGACTTAGAAGTTGAAGATAAATAATGGGATGTTCAATGGTTCCTTTACTCCTCGAAAATTTTAGTTATTCTGCTAAAAAAATACGTATGAAAAAAATCTTCTTAATCCGGATAATAGTCTTTAATCCCATGACCACGCTTCTATATTTGAACAGCTTAAGATAAATGGCATTGATATTTTAAGTTAGACTACTGAGTAGTCCCCATTTTTCCTCAGAGATATTAGAGCCAGCGAAACGCGAGCGCGCGTGAAAATCACTCCACGCAAGAAAGGCGAGACGCGGTGGAGAGAGAGAAAGGATTGGGGTGATTTTCACGCGCGCTCGCGTTTCGCTCGCTCTACTATCCCTGAGGAAAAATTGAGACTACTCGCAGTCTAATTTCAAGTTTACACAGGGGTGCTAAAGAAAGGAAGGGTAAACGTTGTAAATGCCTAGGCCAAAACAAAACAACAAAAACACTGGAGAGTCGGAGGAGCAAAGCGAAAGAACAAGGGAGGAATTTTATCATCTGCGCATACCTGAATACAGGACGAATAGAAGGCCGCGAAAATCTCGCGGGCTAGTAAGCAGCGTTTTGGTTTGGTTCTTTCTTGCCGCTTAGTGGCAATAAAACGGTTTGAGTAGTTAAAAAGGTGTTTTTTGGCAAAATTTCCAGGAGGGAATGGTTGAAATTTCTATTTTACTTGACGGCCATCTTGGGTTTTTCCTAAGGAGTTAAAGGCCTTAGATACTGGGCCAAAATTGTATTTGTCTTCATGTTTGTATTTAGTCTGAAATGGACTTGCAATGCTCAAGACACCTAACTAGGCGTCCAAGACTATTCATAAGGATTTCAAATTCGGCCTGTTGTCATCTTAGGTTTTTTTCCAGTCGCCGGTTAGCCAATAATTTTGGATCAAAATGAGAAATTTCATTTACCTTTGTCTTCATAAAAAATGAATCAAGGGGTGCTGTTTTGGAGCGGTGACAACGGGGCACCTAGATCATTTACAAAGATTTTGATTTAGGTTGGCGGCTTTCTTGGATATTGCCACCTAATTTTGGTCAATTTGTTTTAATTTTATACTTTTGGACAACTTTTTGACGAAGAAAAATTCTGAGGCGACTCATGCCCCAAGCTTTCCTGCCACCTAGCCTACAGGCCTAGGGCCCGTTTCTCAAAAGTCCCGGTAACGTTTTGGGCCTGTTGTATTCAAATTAAAATTTAAAGAAAACAAGCGTAAATCCTGGTCCAAGCTCTCAAGCCAGTTCGTCTTGTTTTATAACTGACAGTCATACCGTGTTATCTGCAAAACTATTGAAACCTTGACCTGTTGAATGACGTTCAAGGGAAAACGAGAGAGAAAAGGGCCCTTGGTGAAAAAGAAGACCCTCATCCAGACTCTGCCTCGCCCCCAGTCGCTCGCGATCTCTGGGGGACATTTGAGTTAATTATTAAGGAAAGCGGATACGAAGGGAGTGATGGAAGGGGACCCCGCTCGCGCTCTACCCTTGTTGCCATCATCCCTCTCTCGCGCTTCACGCTTGTCTCGCGTGCTCGCGAGTTCCCCACTTATCCTTGGGAGAGAGCCCATGGAGGACGCAGATCAAGGCTACAATCGGCGACAAAATTGTTGAGACATTGTACTTAAATAGGGTGACTTCGGAGAACAAAAGAATCCGCACCCCTCCCCTGTCTCCTCCATTCAAAGTTGGGGTGTTTGTTGTTTTCTATAGGTAGCTAGAACAAGGGCCCAACATTGTACGGAGGGGATGGCGGAGGAAAGCTATATTTCCTCCTTTTGAAGTTCATAAAACGTAAAAAAGCCTACTTTTGGGCGAAGTGTCTCAACTAATTTTGTCGCCGATTGTAGTTTCTCAGATTATTCGAGTTTAAAAGAACTACACGGGCCAAGAGGATAAAACTCAATAAACAAAAATTAGAAGTTTTCGACAAATTTTATTTAGTATTCAGTGTACAATAAAAATACTTCTCCATGTTTATATCTACATCCCAAAAACTGTCAACCTTGACATATGTATATCACTTTATAACTCATGTAATACGTCTAAAATTTTCGTTGTATTCGCATTTTTCTCGTACTCTCAGTCTTTTAATTAATCTTGCCTTCGTTTTATCATAAATTATCAATAACTTACCGACAACGAAAACTGCTTGCATTCGAATATTTAACAAACAATTTAGTTTCTACTGAAAATGAATAAAATTTAGTGAAACAGAATCAAAAAATACCAAGCATGGCATTTCAAAATAGAGCATTTGTACTAAATACAATGGCACAATACACTGGTGGAGAAGACCCAAAAAGTAGGTCTTTAAAAATGGGGAAAATATAAAGTCAGTGTTTTTCAGTCTTTTTTTAAATTTCGAAGATCCTTACATCCTGAAATCGGTTAAAGAGACAAATGCAATGTATTTCAACCAATCAGGAGCCTTTCCAATCACACGTTTTCCCGCGCCTGACAATCGTACCACATGACTCGTTCTCTACGTTGTTTTGACAGCACC